AATGCAAAGTATTGAAAGCAATTTTCTTCCTATATATTTAACACGGCATCTACTTCACATACTTATATACATGGTTATTGGCGGCGATGATGAAGACTTAAAAATATTATGGGGATCAAATTTTTTTATGTGTATAACACCGTGTCTCTCGGGTAAAACTTTTGAAATTCATTTATTGTCGCTGAGATTTTCATCTAGAGTTTCTTTAATCTGGTATTTAGAACGAGATTTTCTATATTTAGGGCAGCCCAACAGGATGTTTATTTCGATATCGAAGCAAAGAATCTGGAAATCAAAAAGAGGTCATAATTTTGATTTTAGGAATAAATTTAAATATCTTTGTATCTATATTTAAAATGAAGTATAATTTATGTTTGTGAAATGATTTTGACGATTTTGAAGTTGACAAGTTGAAAGTTCTATGGCCGTATCCTATCCCATAAATATATGTAACTCCTGGCTTTCTGCGTCGTAGCAGATTCTTTCTCCTTTCTCCGTCTACTCTCTTGTCTACTCTCGAATCTGGCGCCATCGTCCCCACAACGGTCGGCGAGACGCGTGGGACTTTCCGGCGACAAGTCCTTTATGATACCGCTCGTACGCCCGCAGCCTCTCACCGAGCGAACACTTTTACCAAGAAAGAAAGACTCCTCGTTAATGACAGATCTCATCTCGTTTCGAGGCATGCCCGTATCGCAATTCGTGGAAGTTCTTCATAAAAACGGTAGATTAAATTCTTTGATGCCCACGCTATCGAGAACTTTCAATTAACAAACTTACAGTCGTTGGATACAAGTTCCTTTTGGTTCGTAAAGATGAATTAACAAGAGAAATGATCGTTATTAAAATTGATTCTTTATGGCAATATATACTTACCATGAAAATACACTTGATTTGCATGTCATGCCGTTAACATTGTTTTTATGTATTTTATGTATGTTTTGCAATTAATATAAGTTTACATTGGAATAAGATATAGTGGTATAAAGGATGATTATTATGGTCCTTCAATTTATGATTTCTTAAGTTTAATTGGTACATCCTTATAAACAGGATAAGGTTGAAAGTCGTGCATTAAGTTATCTGTGTTTTATATGGCAGTTGCTAGAAATCATAGTGATGATCAGATCATGGTAGTAATTATATATAATTCATAATAATTCTTCTTATCTGTTACAGGTGAAACAGGACAAAAGGAATGGTGTACATTAGCATATTGGGAATTGGGTGGTAGAGTGGGTCGCCTCTACCCTGTAGAACCTTCAACGGTAAATGTGTTTGATTCCCTCCATGATGGTGATGGCCTTTGCTTAGCAACATTGGCTGAAAATCATGTTGCACCGCCTGCGGTCCAAAGAACAAGAAGCAAAATTGGTCTTGGTAAATTCCTTTTATTTTATTAGTAGTACATTACTGCAAAAACATAGAGATATATGCTAGTTAAAGAGAAGATCTTACGGGAAATAAAGAATCTGAATTATTTATTTGCAGGTTTAATGCTTAGTCAAGAAGAAGATGGTGTGTGGGCGTACAACAGATCTGAGAGCCCAATCTTTGTGAATTCACCTACTCTGGATGACCCGGAGTCGAGAACACTACTTGTCTATCGTGTACCTCCAGGCTTTTGTTTGAATATTTTCGACCGTAATAAAATTCTACAGCTTCCATATAGCAGCAGTACCACAAGAACGAGCAATCAGGCTTCAGGCTTTGCCTCTGGTCCTGTTGATATCAACTCCGTCCGCATCAGCTTCGCCAAAGGCTGGGGACCCAAGTACTCAAGACAGGAAGTCACCTCTTGTCCATGTTGGCTCGAAGTACTCCTAGCACCATGCAGGTGATCCCTACAACTCATTACGAAGGTATACAGTCTCGTCCGTTCGCGCCTCTTCTTCCTCCTCGTCGTCCTTCAAGAGGACCGATCTGTGAAACTGACGCAGCAACGACGAAGCTCCGTCCCAAAGGCTGCCAACGGATACTCATACGATGTGGATCGCCGCCAGCAGTCTTACCAAAGTACGCCGCCATACATCCAGGAACAGCGTCGTTTTATTAAAACAGGGAAAAACGAGAATCATTTGACAAGAACGTTTTATATTCTTGTGCCTACGAACGGAGCATACACAGTTTATACGTGGTACTCGATTATCATTAATTTTGTAACTCGACTATATTGTATCGCAATATTCTTCTTGATCGGTCAATGATACTGTTGTACTTTCTTGATAATGTTAAATGAGATTTTATAAAAAGTGAGGCGGTGGTTTTCCGCTAGGTCTAGTCAGTGGTAGTTAACGTTTTTAGGCTTGACGTTAATATGCCTTGCATTAAGAATAACATAATATAAACAATATTAACTAAAGTCAGGGAAAGTGCGAGAGTAAAATTGACGTGTCAATACAGTCGTTTTTCATGGTATTGATCATAAGTTTTAATGTTTGTACTGTCTGGCCATGTCCTCGTTTATGATTAATCATTGTACTGCAAGGAAGCAGAACCTTGGGCTTCCGATAAGGTCTAGTCAATGGTGTTTGAGAGTAAGAAAAGCTCGTTGATTGTATGGATTTTAAAATCTATTTAAATTATCAAGAAACGAGAACACTGCCAACAGAATCAAAGGAAGTACTTAGCGTTTTATGTTACCTTCAAAAAGACTTTTACTTTAATAATGAAACTAATATTATTTGTAGTATAAATTTCCTGCTTTTAGATTGAATTTAATCGAATACGAGAAAAGGTTTGTTGGTTCAAAAAATAATAAAAATTCACTCGATTTGAAGATATCTTTGTTGGTTCATTGATTATTTAATTGAATGACAGAAATCCCTAACCAATCAATAGCGGAATTAAACATGTAACTTTTGTAAGAAGGTCACAAAACTTTTCTCGATATATTTCCTTATTTTTATATATTGTAAGATGGTATTTCAGCGCTGAATTGTATAATCTTGTAATGAAGTTTCATCGATATTCAAATGTCGTGTACCACGAGTACTGTAGTTGTCTCCGATCGTCGTTCGGTGCTGTACATACATATATGTACATACACTGTGCCTTCTCAGCTTCCTTTGTGGTGCAATGCACGAGTGATAGAACGAATGTGTGTGTGTATGCGTGCGTGTATCTAAGGAAAGCGAAAGAAAATGAGAGAACTCCGCGTGCCAGCTACGTTTCGCACCAAAATGCCCAAGAGCTTCATACTGCAGTAATACGATACTGTGATAAAAGTTCGAACCAGGTCTCTTTTTTCCTTCCTTTTTTTTTCGGACGCGTTTATGAAGCACCAACGATAAACTAAAAAAGCAATCAATGCGTTAAAATGTGTATATATACGCAAAGAGAGACAAAACGCATGCTTAATAAACAATAGTCCATAAACTCGAATCTAGAGGAAATGTTAAATTTATATAAAGAAGTACCGTTTTCTCGTTTAATTTTGTACAGTCTTAAGAGTAAACAAAACTAGTGTAAGTGAGTGGAGTTTTACAAATTTTATCGTGAAAAAGTCTTCATTAAGATCCGCCTCCAAATCCGAATGCGTATAGGGCGTGAAAGAAGAGAACTCATGTATGCAGGTTGAGCGGTTTGCGCATAACAAAAGTCGAAAATACATGACTGTAAGAGAAGGAAGAGTGTGTAGAACGATGATGATATGTATGTGCATACGATTTAATATGTACCACCAGTCATACGTATTCATTCATACGCATACGTAACACAAGCATCTATAAAACACAATCGACTGATCGTTTCTTCTTTTCTTTTTTTTTCGAGCCGTTAGTTACTTTCTTTTTCGTACAGCCGTTTTTATCGGTATAAAAGCGTACACATACATATGGATCGTGATCTATTGAGATACGATCTTGTGTGACACGCCGAACAATAATATTGTGATGCGTATATTGTCGCTTAAATGTTATATATTAATATGTATACGTATGTATACAGAAATGTTTATAGGTAGCTAGCTATATCTATTGCAACGGAGTGATTCTCTGGCCTGTATGTGATGTTAGAAAATTGGCACTCTTAAGAATACATAATAACCGTAGCGTCGTTCTTCGAAGTACCGTTAAACAAAGAAAATGTTAATCTCTTCGGAAGAAACTTTTGTAAACGACCATAACCATGAGAATGTGTTCTTGATACGCCATGCGTATAATCATATCGCGTACAGGCCTAAGAATCGTCATGATGAAAATTGTAACGGCAAGAAGGAAATTTTTTGTCGAAAAGTCGTCCATCTCGGACAGGTACGTTGCTTTTTATAGTCTTTTTTTGTCGCGGTTCTAACTTGCTGTTATAGTCGAGGTTGGCTCATCGCTGGAATTGAACCAAACGCGTGCGGTCAGTCTGAAAGCGATTGTTCGAAATGATCTTCACGTAAACATGGAACGCAATAACGGTGGTCCATATAATTTGTATAAATATTTTATTTTCTTTCGTAAAGATTCGATTAAAAATAAGTTTACTTATTTTGTGAATTATATAACCTCATTTTGCAAGTCAGAAAATAAGTATTCTACGTTGACAATCCTTTGCAAATTTTTTTCGTTATAAACAGACGACGAACGATTTGGTCGTTCCTACTCGTTGATTATAATACCAAGACACAGTCGTTCCCACAGCATTACGCCAGAAAAGGATGTATAGTTAACGGTGTACTTAACGATATTTTGTAATTGAACGTATGCAAGTTGAAATTTTGCTAGACTCGGTCATAATCGTAGTCTTGTTAAAATTAGGCGACCATTGTTAAAGAAAAGATATACATCTTAACGGGCGAAATATTTATTCGTAATCTTCTCAGAATAAATAAAACGATTAGTTTGTATATAAAAAAAAAAAAAAGGAACACAAAATGTAACATCCTTTGATACCTACATCTTGCTTTATTGAACGAAAAATCGATCGATCGTTCGTTAAAAATAATTTCATTTTCACGTCGTTCATTTAACACTTATTACTAATTATAATATATGTATATTGTAAAAGTTGTTTATTATAAATTATTATAAATTTATTATAAATTAACGTCTTGAATAAGACAAAAGGTATTGTATTGTCGATAAAAGACCAGTTAAGCCGCGTTTAAACCTATTTCTCGGATCAATTCATATAGCAGCATGGATAATATTCAAGTACATATATACTTCCGAACGTAATAACGGTGTGAGCGACCTCTGGAGCGAATGAAGTTTGGAATATTTTGACAGATTCGTATGGTACGTTACGACGCCTTAAGTAACACCATGAGCAATAATTGTTCCATTCGTTCTATCGTTCTGTTTCTGTCATATTACGTTCGTTCTGTTCTGTTCTTTCTATATTTAACATCTCTTTCGTATCCATTTTCGTGGAACCAGTTGGTTATATATTTACGCGATAAACATAATGCAGTTAGTGTCAGTGTTTTGAAAATTGTGTTTGGTCATCTATCATCGGTAGAACTCGACGAATGGCGTTCAGCTAATTTCGTAAGTATTCTTATGAAATTTTGAGGGCACACAACATGTCTCATGCTATTTTCTGGTTTAATGTGCAAATTTTATTATTTTCACGGCACTCATTTTCATATCAACTATACCATTGGTTAATTCTTCTTAGCTTAAAAATGTTGGTCACTTTGTCTAGATATTTGCAAATAATTTGAATATATTTCATGTAATTGATATACTTCTGGTAAAAATATTGAAAATATTGGCCAACAGAGACAGCTTATATATACCTATCATAAATGCGTTTTATTTACTATACAGTTTTATATTTATGGAAGAAAATGACGAAATTAATTGCTTGATTTTCTTTTCTTTCGAAATATTTAAGATAATTAACGACGCTACCTGCTGCAATTTTTTATCGATTCGTTTCTACATACAATTTTTCTTTTTTCTCACGGTAAAAACTAACTTATAAGAAAAAATTTCGTTCACGATTTATCAAACACTCGTAATTCTAATTTTATTAAATTTTTTTTGCAAATCATAGGTGTTTAATTTACTTCGAAACTTTCTTATAAAATAACCTTCAAATAAAATAAGAGCGTCGTTGTGATACGTATCAAGATCGAAATATCTGTCATTCAAAAGCTCCAGTTTACTATTTTTGAATTCTGTGCAAAATGTTCTGTGCAAGTTCCTCATAGCTTTGTAGTGAACGTAAAGCAATATACGGATCTAATGGAAACATTTACGAATATTTAATCAACAAGTGAGACGACGTATTTTGATGTGAACCATATAAAACTATATTTCAGCATTAACTGCCATGCTACTTGTATTCGACCACTTTGTTTCCTATTTTAAGGAAATCGAAATTTTTGAAACAAGTTTTTGATATTTCAATTAGATAGTCAGTGCATTGAAATATTCAAAAATTTACTCGTAATGCCGCAGTAATTAAAAAGAAAACGGAGAAATACTTTACAAGGTAGTTGCAAGTACAATTATAGTTTTATATATATAGCATGTAACGCTTCTCGAAGATATACCTGCAGAGTGGGCCAAAAGTCGTGGTGCATCGGAAAAATAGGATGAACGAAATTGAGAAAAGAAGGGGAAATAAATCGGAAGCGTAGATTTTTCAAAATAAACTTTCGTTTTATAGAGTACTGTAATTTCAAAATTCCGCTTTCGGACCATTATAAATACATTGTATATCGTTTGGTAATGAATTTTAGATCGAAGGCTACCGTAAAATAGTAATTTTTAAGTTTTACTCCGAAGCTTTTGTATTTTGATTTAAAAATTATTTTAAAGAGGCAAACCATAATTTGTTAATATTTTTTAATCGACACTCTAAATTATTAGCTTTCCCATACTCTTAAATTTCTTTTAACCGGTTTTATTTTAAAACTATATTACAAATTATTAGATAATCAAATTTTTTTTAATAATATGATTTTTAACGTAATTCGATCAACACCGTAATTTATCGTTAATGCTATATTTACTGTCTTTAAATAATTTCTCTAATACTTTTTCTGAATCAAGAACGAAGGTAGTTTAATATATTATCCAAGACAAAAGTTCTTATCGCGTCCGAATACATTTAACAATCAACGATTAAGGAATAAAATAAATGTCGAACAATTATTATACAAAGAGAATATTTTCTCCGGAATAAGAAGATTATCCTGTTCTTTGCTGCACCAGGATTTTCAAATATATTCTCTGTACTCGAAGAGGTGGAAGTTGTTGATTTCTTCGCAGGAATTGTCTGTGAAACATAGTGCCTTTCTAGCCACTTAGAGCGAAAGACGATTAACAATGTAGCACGCATAGTGCAAACGATCATTATTAAAAGCACCTTACGCTTTGTCGACGATATTGCAAGATCTAATGATAAACATCGAATATCGCTGTTCACTCTTTGCTTCGCGAATAATTTTCACGCAAGGCAAAGTACTTGTTCTTTGTCTTCCTGCTTATGGTTTAAAAATTGTAAAATCGCGCCGAGGATCGAGCAAAGCGAATGTGTTCGAAAAAAGGGAATCATATTAGATAAATTTAAAGTACGATCATCTGATAGAATTTTCTCGAGATTTACGGGCAATCAGCTCTGATACAATTTTCTCAAGACTCAAAGAACTTTGATAATGATACTTTTTGAATAACAATTAAACCAGAGGTTTTTAAACCACACTGTTCAAAATGATTGAAAAGTACATGATTCTAACAAATAACATTCAATTCCTTAAAACTTATTTCAATAAACTTGAATGAAGAATATATAAGATGGAACTATATATGTATACATATTCTGAATGTATATGATGTAGCAAATGACATTATATACATACATATATCGAAGAGACTAATGCATTGAATATTTGATATAACTTTTCGACTTGTATATAGCGTATTTGGTTTAGGTGTGCAGTGTGTATATAGCATTATTTCTATAGCTATTGAGATTGCATAAAAATTGTTCATATAACGAGCAAATGTGAAAGATAAAAGATATCATGGACACTTGAAATCTTGATAAACATGGTAAAGTTAATAAAGATATTCGATAAATTATTGTTCAAACATGCACTTCATATGCATCTTAAAATACTTAATAAATTAGCGATAATATATAGTTATAAATATAGAGATGTATATCTACAAAAGACACGTACATCGATGGTGAAATTTTTATACCTAACAATTTCAATAAAAGACTCGGAAATTACTTCATCGAATCAAAAGAAATTCGATATCTCATGAATGAGAAAACTTTCGAAAATTTTGTCGCTTTTTCAATAGACGAAGAATTAATAGCATGTATGACATAACACGTAACACTTTCTCTAAACTTTTTAAAAATAATGTAACTTTTTAATCCTCTTGAATAGTGTGCACACGCGTAAATTATACTTACCGCACGTAGTACTAACAATAAAATTTCAAATGGACTTTGTGCTCTTTCCTTTCTTGAAAAAGCCGATCCTACGATAATTCTAGTGCCTTACACGAGAAGTGTTTCATTTTGGAAAAAGAGATAGCTGCGTAACGACACTACCGTTGCAACGATAACGCAAAATTTCTATTCGAATGGTGAAACTAAAATTATCTTCACTCGCCAGTTTAAAATTAACACATTCTGAGAAAAATATCTCCCGAGCTGGTCTGTTGCGTAAAGAAGATATAGCTTGTCGATCGAATAAAATAGAATAGAAATAGCCTGACTTAATAAATTTTCAGGGTTTACAAAATTGACTTTCCATTAGCAATACAATAGCACGATTCTAGTCAATATACAATAGTTTTGAGAATATGCACATCCCGTTTATCAGTGTTAAAACTTCTGTGGGAGAAAAAAAAACTATCAGAAAAGCTATTACGCGTGTAACCAACTAATTTGTATTTCATTTATATTTAAGCGAAATAGCGAGTCGAACCGATTTTGTGGAAGTTGGTATATTTGCAAAGGTTACAGGAAAATAATGAATTATGTATTCTGCTCGAAAATCTGCTGATTTTTATTTCGATTGAAAAATTTGAGAAAAAGCGAGACGAGAAACTCCGAAAAGTGTGCTTAAATGTTCGAATCTGACTGTCGTGTAATCGTTTATTGCATTAATACTAATTTGATTACATTAATAATACGCGTTAATTATGCATAGAATTAAATAATACAAGAATTAACGCAATGGGAAAACTGGTAACGTAAATGGAAAAATTGGTCGAAACAGGGATCGAGATACGTCGCAAATTATTATACGGAATCGATAATATTTTTATCAACATTTTAATAATAATTTTTAAAGGTACAGAATAAAGAGAATTCCTTAATGATTTTTCGGATTATTTAATTTTCCATTTGCCAGCAGAGACGTTTTAGTGCTTATGAATGGGAGTGTACATACAACTAATTACGTACTATGTATTTAATACGTAAATTTAACACATACTTAGAACGTTTGTATATAAGCGGACGCCCAAAAATGCTTCATAAGATCGTATTTTCTAACGTTGCGAGCAAAGGCATTATAGGTTGTGAAGACAAATTAAAATATTTATTCAGGCTATATTCGCGCTTTTTGGATGAACAATGGCGAACGATTATGTTGGCACAGTGTGGTTAAAAGTTATGGAAATTATTATTTAATGATGAAAATATCTGTACAATTATTATGAATGAAAGAATAAAAGAAAGATATGCGAATTGAAAGGCGATAGGTTTCCATTCTAATGTTTTCAAAAATTTCTGTGCTTACGAGAAATACGACCCTTCTTAAATTAGTTTTAGTTAAACAATGCGTAAAAATTAAGAATGAAAAATTATTTCTTAAGCGAGCTTTAGAACGAATACGAACGTGAATTTGATATGAAAGAAAAGAGATTTTGCAAATAATTTTGCTTCGCTTTATCAAACATTTTTTGCTTCGTGAATCTCATTGCGACAATTATATTCTAATTAAGATAAGTTGTATCATAAATGATGTAAATAAAAAAAAAAAAACAACAGTAGGTCCAAATAATTGACTAACAGTTAATTTAAAAAAGAAGAACCTTGAATGGTGAATATTTTAATTCACGAATTAAATAGTTTGAACCGAGATTATTCAAAAGTATTTGAATACAGAATTTGCAATTTTTATAACACGAAATCTCAAGGTTTTTACTAGATCAATCGTTTCGTAGTGCTCCAATGTAAAAAGCATGATGTATATATGTATTTGTTGTCTGTGTAAAAAAAAAGTATTTAACAAATTGTTAAAGATAACGTAAAATGTTATTTAAAATAATACTGCAAACTCATCGATATAGGCAAATGATATAGGTGCGTTACATTTTTAATGGCAATATAATTAACATTATTTTCAATGAATCTCTTGAAATCTGTAATTTAATGAGAAGAAAACTCACACCAAGTTTTTCATTTAGATGAACGTGGATCGAGGGTGATAAGTTAGAAAATGTTGTACATTCGATTCTATCTGCGAAATAAAATTTATATAAATAACAGGTTTAATTAACGTCGTTGCAACTTTTATCATTTTCATCGCATAGTTTCTCGGTATAATTGTTCATTCTTAAGTAAACGATCTTTTATTAAACAATTGTACGATGCCGTAATTGTTTCATATTAATTATTTTTCAAACTATATCGTTCCCGAAACCTTTTGATGGAATTGAAAATAGACGGTATAACAAAATGTTTTTAATACACTGAAATTTTAAGTCACGAAACTGCGAACATTTTACAACTTTCCCTTGATCGATAAAAGGAATCATTAAAATGATATATATATATATATCATTTATATATATATATATATATATTGTATATACAGCAAACGCGTCTTCAACATTTATACAGCGATCCAATGTAAATGTATATAAAAGTGCTCTACAATATGCTGTAGTATATAAAAAAGTGATTTCCTATAAAAATAATCGTGGTAGAAACAAATATTTTTTAAGAATCAGCGAGCTGTTGAATTAACGAACTAACAGGAAACTCAATAGAAAAATACGTTTACTGGATAAAAATTTGTTTTATCGTATTTCTTATTATTGTTAATAAAACGAATAATAATGAATATTGATAAAATTACGCAAGACCTCGAACTATGAAGACAAATTATTTATATGATCTTAAAATTAAAATAAAAATTTTCCATCTTTTGGACACTATAGAGAAGAAAATTTAATCTACTTATAAGAAATCACTTCTTTTTACCACTTATACCACTTATTTTGGAATATACCGTATGTAGACGTACGATTGCGCCAATAACGATACTAGCAATGTTATTATTACTATTATTATGATTATTAATAATGGTACAATAATACCGAATATGAATAAAAGGGTTTGTAACGAGAATTATAATTAGTAGGTGTAATAAAGAGTAATAGAAATATTGACTAAGAGCGGCATTGTAAAGAAGAACAATGGTATTATTTGTCATCTCTTTGAGAGCTCGTAATACTATTTTCAATATAACTGTATTCAATAATAATAGGCAGAGTAATGATACTTATGGCGATGATTATATATACAGAACTGCAACAGAGTTCTCGCCTTTCATTTTTACGAAAGAAAGAAATATATGAAGCTGCAAATTTTTACGTGACTTTGTTACTTAATTTACCTTTCGGCTACCAAGCAACGATATTTCTTCCATTTTTATCAGGTCATCGTGACAGATGAAACGAAAGAAAAAAAAACAACTTTTGACATTTATCTCAAATTCATTGAAAATAAAAAATTCATTCGTGATAGTAATAAAACCTTTGTTTTACCGATGTTCGAGGTCTATAAACGAGAAGTATTAATATTTTAACTAACTTAAATTATTTTCTAAACGCGTATGTCCTTTTACAGGAATAAAGAGGAAAATGTGGAATGGAAAAGGATTAATACAGAAATACAACGAGTGACAAATTGTTTAAAAAATTTAAACTCCTGCTTAAAATTTAAAATCTATTCTACATTGATCTTTCATTTACTCGTACAGCACATTTTCGTATATACATGATTATAACACACTTCATTCGTACAGACAAAACACGCATACATTGTAACACTAGACAATACTACGCTATCTTTTGTAATAGGAATAATAAACTTCGAGCTTAAAAACGTCGTCCCAAATTAGAAAAGTTTCGCTTCTTCCTATACGTTCTCAATTTCTATTTAGACATAATTATTATTCAAGCACAGTAATTATGAATTTGTGGAAACCACTGTCAAGTATCACTTGTATCTTTAACAACGTCTTTCTTTGCTCCTTTGATTATAAACTAATGACATTTAATGACGTAACTGTAAACTTCTCAAACTTGGAATAAAAGGTATCCTAGAAGACGTTCTTAAAAGAAATTCGAATAACTCAATCTTCACTTCTTGTAACTGCTTATGAAGAAACGATAACAGAGAATGAACAATATATTAATACTAGCAGTCATCAAAATATTAATTATTGAAATAACATTAATTACTATTATAATAATGAAGAAGAATGAACTGATAAAATACTGTCCGTGTAACGTAATCGCACAATTATTTAAATATTCGTTCGAATGATGTTCGTGCGAATTGGAAAAGTCTACAGTTCAGAGAAAGACAGTTCGACGACACTTTGTACAAAAATAATAGCTACAGACACGAACTATAGCCTATAGTTTATTCAAATATATGCATAATTGAACGTCGGATGAAATCAAGTCGAACTGTCTCTCATTGATGTTTTGGAAAAAATACTGGCTTCACGTGTACAAAGAGTGTAATTTGTTGGAATGTACGAAACGATCAAATGTTGTAATAAGCGTATTATTCGCGTCTTTTCTCATTCCTTTACCGGGAAATGTTCAACTCTTTTTCTGTGGAAGAATCAATGCCAACAATCCTCCAACTGAAAGTAATCGAACAATTAATTATTATCAATGAAACTTGATTTGGCATAAGGAAAAAAGGGAAATGAGCAAAGGAACTGGACAAGTTGAAAGGAATAAATATGTTTACTCACAGATCACTATACTGCCGACCAAAAAGATTGGCACCTCGCAGCTGATATCGAGCAACATTCCAAAGGCTAAATTGCTGGCGATCGCGCCAATTCTGCCAAAACAGGTCATCATACAAATCGCAACGGCGCCTACATGCGTTGGAAATATGTCAACCACTATGCTGCTGATCACGAAATTTGCTGTGACTATCGTCAACGAGAACATGCAGCTCACCATTAAAATTTGCAAGGAGGACTCGACGAAGTATATCGCGAAGCCAAACATTCCAGCTAACAACATGGTTGTTACTGAAACAGAAAGGAATTGTGCAATTTTTAAACAAGACCTCGCACGCTTTTCCCGTCTAACTCACTAAATTCGTTTCAATGAAAATATTTCAAATTTACCTGGAATTGTTCGTCGGCCAACACGATTTGCCAAATATCCAGATACGATGTTGCCAAGCAAGCAAAATGCGTTGATCGTCAATGAATTGATGAAAACCATCTCGTCCATGTTAGATGAACAATCAGTCTCAGTCGTCGAGTTAATTAAAACGTTCGTTGAATTAAGAGAAATATTTGACGCTGGCGTCACGGTAGCTTGCAGGTCACTTTCTTGGATTAGTTTGCAAACGCTTACGCTTCGATTGGGATGTAAATGTTGGTAGCTTTCAAAACGATTGAACAGCTCTGGTAACCATAAACCGAATCCATAGTATCTGAAAAATTATAAGATGAATTTTATTTAGTAAAGGATAAAATATTGATCGATTACAAAATTCTTCGACAATCTATTTAGTAGATTAAGATATCGAATCTTTCATTAAATTATACAGGGAATTCCACAGGTTTCTATACAAATATTTAATATATACATTTTTCTTGATTTTTATGTTAATTAGCGTGAGAAACGTCTGTTTAATCTGAAAATCAAATAAGAAGACGTTCCATTAATATGGAATTGATTAACATTATATCCAATCTCAAAATTACTCTTTTCTTACAGGAAATAATGTAATTGTTTGATATTATTCGTATTTCTGTTTACTCTGTTTCTATCTATAAAATATGAGAGATATGCAATACTGTGACAAGTATTTTGTATTACAAAATTGTAGCAAATATCACAAATACATTAAGATTGTCAACGGGCTAGAATTTAATTGAAGCGTGGCAAGATTGTATCCGCGATATGATTTATGAACAGCTTACCCGCACATATTCGCAAAGTAAATAGTCCAACAGAGAAGCGCGTATTTCAAAAGTGGCGGTGACGCGAGCGAACGCATCTGTTGCCAAATATTTTTCAGCAATTCCATTAGTACTCTGGACGCGGAGAAAGACGTATTATTAACATTATTAATATCCATCGTATCATCGGACAACAAGACTTTTACCTGAAACACAAGTACAACATCGTTAGACACGAATTTATTCCCTTCGTCATATCTTTTACATATACATGGGTGTTCGGCTACAGGTGTCAGGAAATTCAACGAGTGATTCTTGAAGTTGAAACAAAACGAAGATCAATAATAAAAAAGATCGCGTTTTCGGTTTTGGTTTTTAGTTATTGACAATTAAAAAATCGGTTAAAATGCCCCTGCACGCGAGCAAACCTCCTTACACGAACAAAAGGAGGTCAGCCTAAGCAGCGGGGCGCACAGTGATTCTCAATCCCAACGATATATGGGCGGCAGCTTACCTCGTACAGGTCGTAGAGAAGATCATCGTATTCAGAGATTTTAACGTACCGTAATCGTCGAGTTATATTGCAAAATATCTTTGCGCTGGATATAGTCCTATTGCGATATTTTCCGGCGTATAAACATCGCGCTTTTGCGCTATTACCGTCCGCCGCATCGTAACAGATATACGCGTCCGAAAGTTCTCTAAATGTATACATTTTATAATAAATATGGCTACAATATAAATACTGCTACACTGCATACAACACTCACAACGTATACAACATGCTCAGTATATACTCAACAAACTGCGGCACACGCAATATAATTATTATTAATTATAATATTTTCAGTCCTGTGAAAGTTTTTCGTCGATTGTCGAAACGATTCTGTTCGTTCAAAACTGTTCAACTCTCTTGCCTCAAGATGTGTAAAACATGGAAATGTAGTTCTGGGGAGTTCATTCCGAGCTCTTTGCCAATGCTTTCACCTTCTTTGTATAACTATCCAGCTACGGTACAGGAATTATCCAGCTACAGTCATAATTTAAATTTCCTGACACCTGTAGCCTGTATGTTTAATATTCTCTACTTTGATAACGAAATAAAATTAAAAAATTAAAAATCACGATGTATGTACTTTAAATAGCAGTAGTAATTTTGATAAGAATATTTGTCAATAAATAATATTGCCTTAAATTACAAAATAGGCGATATTTAAAAAAATAGAAATTGAAAGACTAATTGTTAATTTTGTTGATAGCAAATGCGATGGCGATGCTGATTCGATAGTGTCTGTGCTTTCGTTTGCAATTTCTGCTATTTGGTACGGGTAATGTTGTTAATTTCAAAATTATTAAGTTGCATCGATGCTTACGGGATAGTCGTCCTCGTTACGGCCAGTGTTTATCGCGTAGATTTTTCGTAAAATTGCCAATGCTTCGTCCGTTTTTCCCTGAGAGACCAAAAATTTCGGACTTTCGGGATATCTAGCCGCGATCAAAGTTACCATTAACGTTGGTATTCCAATAATAGCCAGAAAGAGTCGCCAAGAATTATACAACATGCCATTGAATCGAAGAGATATTGGCAGCGGTATGATAATCCAAGCCAAACCTAACAAACAGAGAAAGTCCTTATATAGTTGCATAATAATTTCTATGTGTAACATATTTAAGAAATATTATTATGAAATTGTTCTAAACATTTGATCAATGTTCTTTCAATTAGATTATTACGTACCAAGATCATTAACTAAAAAATGTAATATTAAATTTGTTAGTTAATTATTTAATTTTATTCGTTATTATTATAATTATTTATTATTCAAATAGTTGTATTAGTAAATAAGAGTTTTACAAGACTGTAAACGATTCTTACCAGGCAATATCAACCACGATAGGGTCCAGAAGAATCCTACGTAACAGATAGTTTTTACTCTATGTTTCGCTGTGTGGAATTCACCAAGGTATGTATAGACCAGAGAACCAGGAGCTCCTATGCTAAAGCCAAAGAGTAATTGTTAAAAAATAATATACATAAATTATAATAAATAATATTAACATATAACAGAAAATCCTTTTTGCAAGTTCATGCGCTTACTACGAACACGCGACTTGTGTAAAATTCGTATTAATTTTACGAAGCGATTACAAAAATTCATATGTTATCGAGATTGCAAGGAATAATACAAAATAACGAAAGATATATCGTAGATCGAAATAAACGTTAAGTTCGTATTTCTTTTTCTTTTTCTTTTTTTTTTTGCGGTTTTATTATATGCGAAAATGAGCACGATACTATGGACTGACTAGATATATAATGCGATATTTATTACATAATATGTAATATACTTACAAGAATCCACTGAGTGCTCTGAAAATTAACAGCACTTTAAAGCTTTGAGAGAAACTTCCTCCAATTGACAAAATACTGTCACTTAATAAAGTAAGGAGGAGAATATATCTCCTTCCGTAGGCATCTGCAAATACTCCCCAGAAAAGGGAACTTACAACTCCGCCTAATGAAAGAAAATATCAGGTTAAATTAAACGTCAACTAAATACCGATAAATAGCATAGCAATATCGTCACAATATTACGATGATATTAACATGATTCTATCTTTTTACAGTTCGTAGTTTAGAGGATGTAAATTGGTAAATAAGAAAAATAAGAAAAAAAATTTCTTCCTATAAGTTAACTTTTCGCAGTAAGTTTGTTTTAATATTCAATTGAACGATAGAATACAATTGTTTTCGATAATTCATATCGTATTTGGGTATTTTGTTTTCAAAAAAAAAAAAAAAAAAAAAAAGATTACGAAAGTATAATTGATTGTTATAAAATAGAAATTTCGTATTTTGAACGTCCTAGATCATGTAACAACTTTTGTCTTCGACGAATACTATATGCAAGGAAAGATTAATCGACTTTAGTCGTACAAGCTACGAGTGGGATGTTATATAAAAAACTGCTCTTCAACTTTCCTAATGAAATAAGTGCTATCTAACGTGTCTAATACATTGCAATAAATGTACATAGGTAGTTGGGATATCGTAGTATTTTTATGTTCCTACTAAATAATTTTTTTTACTATTGTACTTGGCAACCACATTTTGTTGCATTAGAAATAATATAATCATTTTACACATCTAGTAGATCATAAAATGTTTTATTTCCAAGTATTATCGATAATGCTTTAGTTTTTCTGAATTGAATTCCAATTGAATTCGAATTAAATTTCCAATTTGTGGAAATACTGAAAACATAGTTAGAATAAATGCGACTGACAAATAACGAATAATGCAATTGAACAAAATTAAACAATCATAAATACTTTACTTTTCCATTTTTACTTAATCCATTTGCTAAAGGAAACGAAAAAACTAAGACGTTTTTAATTATCTTTTTTCAATGTGAATCCTATCCATTTTAATCGCTCGCGTAAGGGGCCGAATTTGATTTTCCAATAAAACAAAGCTGTTACGAATGAACATAGGACGAAGAAAAACCTTTATGCAAAACGTTTAGTAGCTTGTAACTTCTTCAGTTCTCATTTCGCTATATTGGACAAATTATACGAAAGAATTTGAGGTTTCTTTTATATATTCGAATGATTTGAAAAAATTAAATAATCTTACGTTTATACTTCTTTTGTTTTCGCAAGTTCCGAAGTTTCCGGATTTCAAGGACACATTTAAAAAATACATTATCGACACTCTTCACAGCCGGAAGATTAGAAACTCGGAAACAAACGTAACGGCTGTACATTTGCTTTTGACACGCGCATTCTTAAAATAAAAATACATGATTGTGTTGATACCTAAGAGAAAGGCGACGTTCAGAAGACCTTTTTGTTCAGAACTCAAATCGAGATCACATTCTGCGGATGGTAAAATGTACGCGTTTATTCCGTTCTGACAACCAACGCAGAGGAACATTGCTCCACAGAGTAATACGAAGCCATAGTGGAATTTTCCGTACCCTAAAACAGTAAATTAAATTTCCCATTAGTCTTTTTGCCGTTTGAAGTGGTCAAATTAATTAAATACTAACATGACGTTGAGTATCTGCTCGTGTAATTAATTGTATATAAATCAAGAAGTTCTCAGAATTGAAGGATTAATACACTGTGAATGTGGAAATTGTAGAAAATGTAGGATCATAGAAAATTAACTGCGCTAGAGTGTATTAATAATTTCTGGTTACAGTGTTGTTATTTAAATTTGTATTAAAGAACCGTGTATATCGTTTTAATGAACGTAAGTGAATAACAAAGTAAATGGAAAATAATAAAAAATGAAGTAACAGAGAAACAAAAAGAATAATTCGTACCACACAGTTTGATGGCTTTTTCGAAATCTGCAGCGCTTTCCTTGCCTGCATTGTTCTCTGAACAAACAAAAAACACATACGTATATTAGACATTTGTATTAAAAGAATTCAGTAAAAAATAAATATATATGTAGTATAGAATGTTGTATACATTGGGAATAGTTTAGTTATATTATATTAGTTTTTAAAAAATATTTTTATGAATTAACTATGTACCTATAATTGTTAACTTTTATATGTGTTTGAGAAAATAGCTACAATTTAATATTTCCATATAAATTAACGCTATAGTGGCAATATTTATATTATACCAGTTTAATGATCACCTTCGATTTAAGTCGCTATAACGAATATCGAGGACATGCGATCCATATCGATGCTATGACAATCGTTATTTTCATAAAAATGTTATATAAACTTACGATTTACCATTACGTGAATAGGACACGGTCTCCAAGTTGTATATTCACAATTGATTCAACTAACAATTTTGCAAATATTATATTTTATTATTTGATTATTTATATTGTTACTATTAAATATACAGTATAAGAAACTGTGTCAAAAAAGATGATGATATTTAGTGGCAGGAATATTTATTTTTAACATAAATTGTTTTAAGAGCTACTTTGATTATCTTTCTTTTTTTCTAAAAATGTCATAATACGATTATACACAATTTATCACAAACTGGGCTATTTTTTAAAATATTAATCAAGAAGAGAAAGTTATAGAAAAGAGAAAATCTTTTTTTTGTTTTCACAGGAAAGATAAATTTTAATAGAGAAATCTGTGTTCTCAGATATTCTTATAGATATTTACAAAAGCTCAGAGCTTTAAAACAAAATCTTCTAGATAAATACAGGCTCTATATACAGTTTCATTTATTTACCTCGACCTTTGAAAAAAAAAAAATATATATTTGTATCGTTTCTCCACTTAGCCCTCCAATTAAAGTCGATATTGTGTAAGGTGAAATTTATCATACACAGAGCGGAATATCGCCAAACAGAATTCTTGACATTCTACCGGGTCGTTTTTAATTACCATTAGCACAATCAAGATAGTGACACCAGCAATTGATGGTAAATGCACAGTAAACGAAGTCCATTAAATTTGTCTTTACGAAAGGTCGACATAACTTTAGCTGTAAAAGTATCTTCAGATAAGACTGAACGAGTACATTACATATGTTTTATAAAAATTGTTAATCGCAAGAAAAGGGAATTTTTATCCTGTTAAACAGAATACTTCGGTACAATTTTATTCAACCCTATGTTTAATATAAAATAATCGAAGGTAGATAAAATAAATCAAACGTAGCAAATGATTTAAAACAATTCTTGAATCATTTTATTCGCATACACGAGTCACGTTTTTCAATTTTTCTGGATAGAAATACGTGAATCGATAAAGTCACGCGCAATTTAGCTTATGATAAATATAGTAAATAACAAACAGACTATCGAAAATAATTGTAAGATCTCGTGCTGTGGGAAACGAGCCAAATACCAGAAAAGAGGACAGCTGTATACTTAACCTGCATACAGTTTTGCTAAATAGTTAGTACTATTATTAGCTATGTTGACATCTGATATATGTATATAGGTACTGTAAATAATTCACTAAATTAGTTATGATATTTGTCTAAATTTTTTAACTCACCTATATAGCGTATATTTATCGATCAATTATCGTGTCAATACTGTCAGCCTAAAATTAAATTAATTCTATCGAATATTACAAAGAAGCAACTCTATATTATATCTAATAATTTTGAAATCCAACATTCCTTTAACGTGGCAAATTTATCTCTTCGCGCATTTATTCGGATATTTGTTTAAAACTCCTTCGTCTCTCTTTGAATCTTTAAGAAACTAACTTTGGGCGTTGGTCGTCGCTACTACGATGGCGCATGCTTTTCCATTCGCATAACAATAAATTCCGTTCGCTTCTGCTTTTTCATCCTTTGAAGATCGCAAGACGAATCGAAAACACGTATCCCCTTTCTGTCCATTGTATGAAAGCTTACTTCGCAAATAGCTAATTTCAAGTACGAGCAATACAACTGTATTAACATTTCTATATTAGATCATCTCTTAACCGCTTGATAACAATGGTAAGTCACGTTGCAAACATCGTAGAAACAGTAAGATCTATATCTGTCATAATCTTCTACGAAAATACGTACGTGCATCCTTATCCGTTCTTCGTACACTCGCATTAATTAATAGACAATTCGTTAAGATAACACCAACGATCGCTAGTTGACGAAAAATTATTGACGAAGAAGATTTCGGAGAATTCATGATCATTTCGTTAGGGGGAATTTCAAAGCGCGAAAGCAATTCTAATTAAAATTTCTATTAAACATCCTATTCGATATCGCTGAATAGATCGAGCGTAGGTGTTTTGATAAAAGAAAAAAAGTTATACGAAGAAATATGACTTTGTTCAAATATTTTTCAGCAATCAGCCAGCTTAGAAATCGAATCAATGAAGTGACGTAAATCGATCGATTGCTAATATAAACGGCAGATAAAATGATAATGAAAAGGAGTAATTATATTCTAACATTTCCTCTATCGTACCACCTGTGGCGTATTCAAATACGACGGATATGTCTGCAGATCGACCCCCTGTACTTTTTGACAAATACACGAACAAACAGCAGGTTTGGATCGAAATTACAGCAACAAAGGTTGAAGGAAGTAATTATTGTGACTTCAACGATAATTACTTTGATGTTGTTTCGCTTGATTATACCGCTATACAGGAACATGACTTTTATGCGGCGAATACGAAACGAAACCAATTTGATTTGTCGTAAATAGATACAGTACCGTTGCCCATAACTATTATTGGCCGTGAATTTGTTAGAAAAATCGGACAAATTTTACATTATTTAGCGTTTTACATTTACAAAGCGTATGCCAATGTAGTAGCAGATTTATAAGAAAATAAGCGAAAAGTAGAAGCAGTAGACAGCATCCAATTTTTACTGGATATCAATAATCGTAATTGTCCTAAAACACTTGTAATAAGCGTAAATGAAAAATCATACATTTAAGAAAAATGTAACTATCGTTAAATAGAAAATGATCGCTACTTTTTGGGAGGGGGGCGGGGGAGGGAGAAGCGAAACGATACGATCGAAGTAGAAACATCGTGCTAGAAATTTGAAATCTGACTGTGACACAACTCGTTAAATATTTCGTATACGTATAAAGTTTTGTTTCAATAATCTCGATTCGATAATTCAATATTTATTTCAGAGAGTAGTTTAGTACGATCGAGAACAAAATTCCTTCTTTATCAAATTCAAGCTTCCTCGAAAGACACGTAGTTCGGTTAAAGAATCTCTGGCTAAGAGGATATCGAATCTTTCATAACTCGTTCTTTGCATTTTTAAACGATAAAAATTAAGCGAAATGCATAATTATCGAAATACAGGTGACAAACGAATAGTAACGTTAGCTATGTAATTTAACGAAATGATGAACTATTAAAAAATGACGAACCTTGATGATGTACAGTATAATATGTACACAATAGTTAGAAAAGTTTCACGATTTTGATAACGTTTTCATCGTTCAATCGTGCGTCTTTTCATCAACAATACCTGTCATTGACGTAAGAAAGCACAGTCAATCAATGACGTAAGTAACCCTGGTATCGTATAATACGATACGTTAAAAGCAAAATATTTGATTGTGGAATTTAATTTATTCTACCTACATTTGTTTTCATGGTCAGAATTGTTTTAGCTGCGGATTATCATTTTGCTGTTTAGTAACAATGCAGAAGAACAAGCGATGACGCAAAAGGACATTACGCTTTCAAAAATAACGTTCACGCGTATTTTTCGCTAATATTGACAAATTCGCTGAAATGCAACATTTTCGATCGTTTACGAGAGACATTTGGCAATTTCGAATGTTTTAAGTAAATCAGGTCAATCAAAAGTTTATCCTCTGTCATTTAAAAAAGAAGTGACAATCATAAGCCTTTTAATAATGCAATATTATAGTAATTATTTCATAATAATTACACAATTTTTCAAACAGCCTCAAACAATTTCCAAATCGTATCGTAACCAAAAATAAGATATCGATTATCAATATGCTATGACATTTGATGTTTATCGGCATTTTAAATATTTCACAATCAAAATAATAAACTCGGACACGATTTTTGCTTTGTAAATATAATTTATTTACAAATATCTTTGTATTTGGAGTTTTCCATCTTATCGAATTTGAACGTAACACACTGAAATCATGTTTATACCTGTAAAGAGCCTGTTGCCAATATGTTGTTTCTTTTGTGGTCATAAAATTTTTCTAAGTAATCTTTTCGTAGCACTGCAAACTGTTTTAACGAGATATTAATAAAAATAATGATATTACATAAAAATCGCGAAGCAGATTTAATATCAAATTTTAACTCTTGAAATAATCATCCTTCAAAGCAATGGCTATATCTACATTTTGTTTTCATTCTGATATTTCCTATTATTATGAGCCTGCTGGCGTAGTACCAGTGGCATATATAAACGATTCTTCGGATCCGATTAAAATCTAATTAATCTTAAAATATCACAGCCATCGTTATACGTTGAAAGGGAAAAAAGCCGGGTAGATGGATTGTTTAAAAATGATTTTTAGCATACGCATATTATCTTTGCTTAATATTTATGCTAAACTATTTTGATCGTTATTAAAATTCCGTACTACGATAGCCTTCTCATAAATGATTTATCTCGCACGTGAGAATCTCTTTTTCTATGTAGAACGATCGCAATAATAATAACCATTATAAAATCATGCAGGAAGAAAATCGAAGAAATCAACATTTATTTAAATCCAGATAGAATATCGTGCTACTAAATAATCTGCAAATTAGAAATGCTACTTTCTGTTATTCACATAAAAACTCGATAAACTCAATAAGAGAATGATTCGACGATTTTAAACGTAAATCATTTTTAATAAAAACAACAATCCAAACAACGTCGAAGAAATTTAAAAGAATGATAAATTATTTGAAAATGTCGTGAAAACCTAAATATTTCAGAATTTCACAAATCAAATGTTCACCGAATAGTTTAGATCGCTATATTTATTATATCTTCTTTCGATCGGTTTCATATTTATAAATTACTCAAATCTCCCTCCAAAAATCATCTTGGATAAACTACAATATACACGGCAAATGATACTGTATTTTATAATATTAAAAAATTAAAATGGGGAAATAATCAATTACCGTGTTAATTACATCCTATCAAATCACTGAATAATACCCTATCAAAAATCATCGTCAACGAACGTATCTCAACATCGAGATACGTTCCGATATAGTTAAAGAAGAGTAAAAAAAAAAAATAATAATAAATAAAATGGCCCATTTTACTAGAAAATGAAAACAGAAAAATTGGTAGGAAATACTTACCCACTATATAGGACAAGGAGGCAACCTGATTAACCATAGCGATTAAGCTTGCAACGGCTAGAACACTAGTCTTCTTTCTTGTCAAACAGCGAGCAAAGACTGCCGTTGAAAGCAGGCAGAATCTTATGTGTTACCCTCTGTAGCGCGGATGGAAAACGTTCGCGCGATCCACGGCCGCGTCTCTTTAAATATTGTCATGCGCTTGTACGATCGGCCAGGGTCGAATCCCCGCGCGATTCGCCAAACCGAAAATCGTCTCCCCTACTTTTCGCGCCGGTGAACCTCCACGTGCAAAACTGATTTCCCATTTGTTGTATCGCCTGTTCGCATCGTCAGTGACGCACGTTGCGTTTCGAGATTTCGGCGACGAAACTCTTCGTGTATACGCAACTCGCGATCGTTCGTCAAAACGCGTAAGCGTAAAAAGTGATTTAACTTTCAAGGAAATTATATTGGCGATACAAAGTGTCCATCTTTTCTCTCTAGCGAATCAATCTTCATTCTCATGTTCGTGCATATTTGCGACTAACGGTACGTCGCTCAAATTTAAACGAAATCCATAAAATAATAAATAGGATAAAAAATGTATTTTATTTGTAATTCAATAATTTGATAATTATCGGTTCAAAGAAGAAGTAAATGATAGCAATTAAGTTTGTACGAGCTTTAGCTTTACGAAACTTTGGAATATGTATAAATACCACGGTAAAAGTTGCAACATTTAGTTTGCTTCAGAGTTAGGAATTATGTGTCGATTAACAGGTGTTTATCTCGTTCAAATACATACTTAAGAATTACGTTTATATAATTAGAATTTTTTTCATAACTGTAATTACGTAATTTGAGTTACCACTCAGGACTTAAAGACTCTTGTGCGAAAGCTAAAGAGTATCGATATCATAGAACGAAGGATAAATATTGATAAAAGTACATAATAAAAATGTTCTTTGTTGCGTTATTACAATTACAATTGCGTTGGTATATTATAATTTTACAAGTGATACATAGTTGTTATATCAGCGTTAAATTTAAATTAGACTAATATAACATAGTGTGTGCATATAATATAAAAGTAGTAAAATATTAATATTCAGCAATTTGATATTGGTATAATTCGATACATTTAACGAAAACAATTTATTAATTACATTGCAACGGGTAAAAAAATATGTGATATTGTATAATACTTTTTTTTCGCCATTCCAATCAATTGCGGTTTTTCCAACAAATTTTTTATGTAGCAAAGTAATCCTCCTAACTTCTCAAAAAATTCCAAGTCTTTCGATCCAATTTTAAGCAAATTGAATTCAGTTTCAAAGGCTGTTGCGACAGTTTTAGAAGTCACCGTACTTACATACGACATTTCCAGTGCATAGCATCGCATGTTTGTTCGTCATGTTACGCGTCGGCCTTTCTTTAATTTTGTAAATTGAAAATTGCAAAATCATCATACAAATCGTTTAAAACATCTGGAAAATTGTCATCCGAATAAATGTACTGTTTGCGATGATGGACAAAGAGAAATCCGGAAGAAATATTGTAGGATCACGTAGTAACGAGAACGATTCTGTACAATCGTTGCGAGAAATTTTCAACATGTACACAACTAATATAAAGCTAAAAAGTGTACTTTTCAAATTTTCGTTACTGGCTCAGATAAAAAGGTCGTAAGAAGTGATGTTTACCATTTTCTTCGGGATTTCGAAGAACAAGAATTTTTTCAAAAATTTTTTTACGCGTCGTCCAGAAATCTAATCCTGCTAACTACTTAGAACGATTTAAGTCGTTCGATCAAATTTAAAAGCAGATATTCTGCTTTAAAGACCGTGCTACTACTTGTGTTCCCAATTGTATATTAATACGTATGTATAATTATAATTATAACTGAAAGTCGACATGTAAAACCGATTCTGAGATAAGATTTCCAATTTTGATTGGCATCGGCAATTACATATGTCCTTTAACACAAATGTGAAGATTGGTAATAATGTTTGTGTTGGGTGCGGTTGTGTTGGGTTGGGTTTGCGATTAGGAATGAATCAATATAAGTAGGTACTGTTTTACTGTCGCGCCTTCACTATGATGGAATATGTCAATAAGAAAGCGAAAAAAATGACATATTCTTTAAGTATTATTTTTATCATGAGTACTACAAATATATTAATCCACGATAGAATAAACTGCAACTAATACGTATTTAAATATTGATTACAAGTATAAGTGCCTTCATTATCTCATAATTATTCTAATCAATGATTATGTGATTTTAAAAATTTAATAAATTAGATATCTCTGAAATTAAAAATAATCAATATTTAATCAAGAAATGAGTATCAAATAAGAGATCTTCAAAAAATATTTAAATCTTATTATAATTAAACATTATTTATTTATTTTTCCGCTTTATTTTTTGTATAATTTTTATAACTTATCATGATAAAATCATCAAAATATCATAATTGGTGAAAAGAATGATATATTTTGATATATACTTTTTGTGTTTAAATTATATTTATTCTATATTTTTGACTTCCTTTTTCGCATAGGATTACCCCCTTTCCGCTTGTACCACCAGTTATCAACCACCCTGTATATAATGTTTGATACTACTAGCAATGTTTCAATTTGGCGCAAATGGCTTAGTAGAAAGTTCAGTTATAGTAGATGTTTCCTCTTCCTTCTAACCTAGGTACGTGTTGTATTATTACGTAATTAAAAATTTTAGTGAAAAAGGAAGAAAAACTATGTATTCTTATATTGACTGGAAGATGTAATTAGAGAAGACATATTTTTTAATGTAATGTTATGAATTTTATTAAAATATCTGAATGAAACTTGTAATAAATTTCTAGTAATATAATTTAAAACAGAAAGATACAGGAGATTATTTAATTCAAAGAGAAAAAACCTATGAAAGATTGAAAATAGTTTTTTTGATAACATCAGGTAATACAGAATTCATATATATAATAAAGTTATATAAATCAAATAGGTTAGAGTAGCACATGTTTTAATGATAAAACAGTACATTTCATCTTTATATCTCAAATGAGATAAATACATTATTCCAATATATTTTATAAAAGTATTAAGTAAAAATTTCTTACTAGAAACCACTATTGTATAGTAACTTATAGAACATCGTTCTTATATAAACAGTACTATCAAATAATATTAAGAGAGTAATTTTTTGTTATCATCTTTAATCAATTATAGCATACTTATAATTTAAAAGATTCTTTTTTAGATAAAATGTACAGTGTTGATAATGTCAATTAATTTTCTAAATTACTTCATTCATACTACAAATATACGATTCTTGCACACTGTTATTAAAAATAGAAATAAACATTGCATATACATCAATAAAACAAATCCTTTTCAATCATACTGAGGTAAGAAAAACAATGCACCAATAGAATTAAATTATGTAATAAATTGTATTTTCTCCGTCCTTGAATATAAAAGTGACAATCGACGCTATAATAGAATTCTTTTATCAATGGTTAAGACTATGGTGAACTAGAACCTAACCTCATTATGAGTTTCTTGATTTTTACAATTTAAAAAGTGTAATATAATAATCTTAGTTTCTTCTTAAGTTATTCTTTTGTAAATAAAATAGGTGTGACATTAAGACTTCGCTAATAACAATTTTTAAATAAAATTAATAGGTATGTGTTAATTCATACTATTTATCTCAATGTTTCTATTCTTTATAATTATATGAATTAATATTGCAGTGTCACAAAAATGTTGCAATTTAATACGGCAGCTTTTACAATAGCAACCAGGTTTACTTCTCGATTTTTATGGCGATTAAATGTATCATTAAGTACAAATACAGCAGCAATAATCTCTGAGTCTAAGACTGCTGTTAAGGTAAAGTTTTATGTTTTTTAATAAAACTCTGTAATTACACACTTATTTTATATTTGAGAAATATTATCATACTTTACTAAGAAAATAAATGTTGATTTGTTAAAGCTTGATGACCAAATAAAGGAAATGATATCAAATATAACGATAGTTAATGAACAACACTTGAGATTGGATAAATTAAAAATGGAATTGTGTAAAGATTTAAATGTAAAACCAATAATTACTGAAAAGATTAAAAAAGCACAAACTGTACAAGAAATACTAGAAACTGTGAAAACATCTTCTATGCCTCAAGATGATATTTTGAATATTCTCAAAGCTATTTCGATTTGGGTACATAATAAGGAGGAAAGTAAATCAAGTACTAAAATAAATAAAAGTTCTGTACAAAGCCAAACAGGAGATAAAAACACAACATTTAAAAATTCTCCGCTTAATACTGAAGATTTTTATTCTCATTACTATAATCTTTCAACGTCTGCAATGATCAAGGTAAAAAGGTAAAATAACTTTTCTTTAATTTTATTTCATATATATATATATATATATATATTTGTGATTTTATGTAGAATATATATAACTTAGCACAAGCAGGTAACAGAAATGTGAAACTTTTAAATTATTTCTTTAACAATATTATTGAATATCATGAATTACTGAGTACGAAAGCATGTTCAAATCTAATGTTTAGTATGAGCAGTTTGAATTACTCTGATGAGGTAAGGCCAAAAATAATATTTACTTTAAAATGAAAATTAATAATTGAAAGATATATAAAAGTAGACTAAAATTTATTTTAGAGATTACTTAAAAAAATTTGTAAAGATTTCATAAGGAGTAAAAGTGTTTCTGGTAATGAAACTAATTTTGTAACAATAATATCTTTCTTAAAATCTATGGCATTTGTCAGATATAAAAATAATGTATTTTTAAATCAGCTATGTGATGAAATTATTAAATCCAAAATAAAATATAGCAACAAACAAATTGCAAGCATTTTACTGTCATTTGCAACATTAGGTTATCATTCTCAATATGTAAATGACATCATAGAGGTATGTACCATAAGAAACCTTAAGACAGTTATATTTATTTATTGCTTTGAATTTTCACTCATTTGAATGAATACATTTTTCACCCAAAAGAGGTTTAAATGCACTAAAATATAATCTTATAATTAGGAATATTTCCCAAATTCAGAGATTGAGAAACTTCAATACTCTACCAGATTAAATCTTGTATGGTGCTTTGCTGTATTCAAAATATTGCAAAACGTACATGCTGAATCTGTATTAAATGAAAAGTTTGTTTCAAAAATATTGATCGTTGGTTAGTATTTATGATTAGAATGAAAGATTTATTTTACATTGATAATAAATTAATGTTTAATTTTATTATATAGATACAGAAATCAACAAAAAATTATCCTATCAGTTAAAATTATTAAATATCAATGGATATGCACAATATGCACTCAACAATTATTCCGGTAAGGTAGAATGTATATTTGGTATTCAAAAAGATATAAGTTAATTTACATATATTTTAACCAATATTTTTAGGACCTCTTTTGAATAATGAGATAGTACCACGTATAGTGAACAAACGTACAAAACAAAAAAATGCGTATGTTGAAGCACTACAAGTCACATTAAAAAATATGTTGCCATCTACATCTCATTTCAATATGAGTATAAATACCAACATGGGGTTCCTTTTAGGTATTTAAAAAAATATTTCATGATGTGTATTCATTAAAAATTAATATATATTAATTAATTATTATTAATATATACATATTAAGTATAATATCATACTTAAATAACATTATAGATGCTGAAATATGTGTGGATCACAAGTTTAATTTTATTAATATGCATAGTGATACTAAAAATGGAAATTTCATTAAGTAAGTATGAAAAGGAAATTGAAATAATATGTAAATGTAAATTTCAATATAATAGTATATTTAAGAATCATAAATTAAATGACATACTTAATCCATTTTTAGGATAGCTTTATTATTAGTTGATTACTATGACATGTGCCTAGGAGATACAGATTATCAAGGATTAATTAAATTGCATAGACATTTATTGGAATATAACAATTATGAAGTATTAATTATACCTTACCAATATTTTGGTATAGAAGATAAAATTGAAAAGCGTACAAGTTACTTAAGACATCAAATATTCCAAATATTTCGGAAAAAAACGGATAATTAATTATGATTTCATATTCTGTAATATTCGATAAATAAAAAAATTATAGGATGTAATTATGCTTATAGTTTACGTTACTTTTATTAATATTACTTACTATTCCGTTATTTATTAATTTGATTAATCATAATGTACACATTTTTAAAATATATACATATATACATGCAAAAGTAATAAATATTTGTTTCAAAAATACTAAAAATTCATACTAGATATTTATTTAATTAACATATTAAATTTTTTTATGTTATTAAAATATATTATTTAATCGTAAAACTTCTATTAATTAAACTTTTATTAATATTCTTCATTATTAACTGTATAATTGTTTGTACTATAATATTAAAATCACTTCTAGTTACTTCACTACTAATTTGTACGTATTATTTCTTGCTTTATTTATATCAATATGGTTTTAATATACGTTATCTCTTCTATATGATATTTTGCATAGTTTTGTAATAAATATTTTCTTCCTTGACAAATTCAAATTACACATGACTATGACGTATTTCCTTCGTTCATATCAGCGCCATCTAGTAAAAACCTGGGATTAAATGTGCACGAATTACACATACCAAAATTGGAAATTGGAGTAGACTTTGTATTGTGATTTATCGAAAAGTGCTGTGAATTCTTTTGGAATTGTTTTGTTAAAAAGCGGACTTATTTCAAAATGGTAAATAGTTATTATTATTTTTATCCTTACACGAGGAGAACTAAACAAAACTTATTAATGGTATCTTAGATAATTTTTAAAATATATATATATATATATATATATATATATATGCATACATATAAATGGTTAAATCTTTTAGATGCAATTTATGTTATTATTCAGTCGTCAAGGAAAATTGCGTTTACAAAAGTGGTATGTGGCCCATCCTGATAAATTGAAGAAAAAGATTACTCGAGAATTAATTACTACAATATTAGCACGAAAACCAAAAATGTCAAGTTTCTTAGAATGGAAGGATGTTAAGGTTGTCTATAAAAGGTATATCACAATTACATTATGTTTTTCAAGAATAACAAGTTTTTGTTGAAGTAAATGAAAATTTTACTCTGTTCATCGATAGCATTTGAACAGCAAATTATTTTCATATTTTATTTGTTTTTCAGATATGCCAGTTTGTATTTTTGTTGTGCAATAGAACAAAATGATAATGAATTATTAACATTAGAAATTATACATCGTTATGTCGAACTATTGGATAAATACTTTGGAAGTGTGAGTATGAACTTAATTGTATTTTTTCATAATAAGATATATTTAAATGTAATTTTTGGAATACATATTTACTTAAAATTCATTATTACACTTTTCTGTATATAATATATTTATTAATATTGTCTACAAAAGTATTAATATAAACATTATATTGTATTTTAATACAGAAATTTGTAGTTAAAATGATATCTATTTTTATTTTATTTTATGCAGGCGAGGAGATTAAAACTTTAATATCATTTTAAATATGTTACTAGGTTTGTGAACTAGATATAATTTTCAACTTTGAAAAAGCATATTTCATCTTAGACGAATTATTGGTTGGTGGTGAAATTCAAGAGACTAGCAAAAAAAATGTTTTAAAAGCCATTGCAGCTCAGGATTTACTACAGGAGGTTAGTTATGGGGATGTACCCATTGAGTTGTGACTTGTCCTTTTTAACGATATTATAATTTTCTTCTGTTACTTTCTAGTAATATTACAGAGTCATTTTGACCTACACATTTTTTTTATTTCATTGATTTTCTTCTTTAAGAAAATTAATAATATTTTGCAATTTTTGTTATATTCTCATAACTATATATTAGTATTTTAATATTTGAAGATTCGTTAAAACGACTCTTGCAATATATTTAACCATCAATAGTTGGTGTGTAACATTCTTATTAAAATAATCAAATTTCACACTGATTAAGAGGTACATATAAAAAGTATTAAAACCTCTTGGCTGATATATATGTGGAGCATGTTTGTAGCCTGTTTATTCTGGGTAAAATAATGTGATGATATATAAGCTCAACTCGTAATAATACTTTATTATATATATATATATATATATATATATACAGTTCCTTTTTTATATGTAAAGATTACATATTAATATTTACATATAAGAAAAAATTTACATTTAACTTTAAATGTACATAGCGTAGTAAACAATTATTATTAATACTTAACAGAATATTCAAAATAAGAACATATAGATGGGAAAAATCTAAATCAATGAAATCTTCTTATGTGAAAGTAATTACTGCATTATTTTACTGTCTGGAGAAACTGGGTTATAATGATATTTTAATGTTTATTAACAGTGTAATATCTAAATTGCATGATGGAATGTAATTTTTTAATTTTAAATATTCATGTGTTGTTTTTTTTTATTTGATATTTTTTCACATTTCCATATGTTTTATGTGCTACATATATTATATATCTTTGCAATCTGAAAATAGTTCTATTCTTTTATGTAGTCTGTTATGAAATACTTAAAATTTTTATTAATGTTTGAGGTGTGTTGTATGTAATTATTGATATATGTTTAGTTCGAAAAATCCATATTATACATATTATTAATATGTACATGCAATCATGAAGAATACTCTATACTATTATGAATCATGAATGTGATTCATTTCTTTTCAATATAATGTGTCATAAAATAATCCTAGTTATATATATTGTATAATCAGGAAAGCATAAAAAATGTCTGCTTATTTTTTTCAATAATATTAAGTAAAATATTATGCATAGATGAATATAGATATATTTTGTATTTAAAAGTATTGTAACTTTATATTTTTTTTGTAGCTAATGCTGTGTGCATAGAATGCTTATACGCTTATTCTCTCTTTAATGTAAGTGGGCTTACACATGTTGTGAATTTTTATTCATAATGTACGCAACAGCATATCTATAGTGATAAAGTTAAACATATAAAGAACCGTTGCCATATTTTAATATCAAATGTTGTCATAGAACATTGTGTAATATGACATAATTTACAAAATTAATGATAATATATTGTTTCTGGTTCAAATGTTCCTTTATATAAAATAGTACCTTTTAGACTGAAGCAAATCAGTAGTACTACATTAAAAAAAAAATAGTTAGCTATTTGTATGAGAATAAATCTGCATTATGCAAGTAAATATTATAAAATTATTAAATATTTTGTAATTATTTCTAATATAATTAACTTATAGTATTTTCTATTAAAATATTAATAAGACATAATATCACTATAACAAAGTTATTTTTCTGTCTTAAAGTTTTAAAAATTTAGTACACATTTAGAAAAAAATATTTAGCTTTTTATTTGGCATGTTGCAAATACAGAAACATAATTGCTGCTTTAAACATGAAAAATGTAGATTGGAAATTTAGTTACATTCGAAATATTTTTAAATAATGTAGTTTAAATGTGCACGTTTAAAATTATTATATTTTATGATTATGGGAATAACAGTATAAAAATAACAGAAAATATATATATACATGTATAAACACTTTTAGGTGTATTAGTATTTCGTTACTTTAAATGTATTTCAGAGAATATATTGTTTTATTTATGCTAGAACAAAAAGATAAAAACTATCTTAACCTAGTAATTAAAAATTCATACAATCAATAATATTTTTATATATACAACAGATCTCTAGTTTATGAAGCAAAAATAAATATATATATATTATGTAACATACTTCCTGAAATGAAATTTATAACACTGTATATAAATTACATAAAAATATTTAAAGTATCATATATAGAAGAATATAACTTCATAATATTTGTACAACAAAGATTAATTAGTATTTAACTAATATATAAAATAAATTAAAGATATTTTTAAATAATGTTATTAGAAATAGAAAGGGAATTAAAATTTTTTAAGAAATACGATTTTTAACATTGATAAAGGATGAATTCGTGTATTAAGGTAAATTTAATGGGATTGAACTTCCAAGTTCAATTTCAATTTAATTCTTTCCTGTATATCTTACGTTTTGGGATTTCAAAACTATATTCCTAAAGTATTTCTTTAAAATTTGTAAAAATGATGGTATTATAAACATTTATTATTAACTTTACATCGTAATTTTTGCAATAAAGTTTTGGATACTATTTGGTATTTTTCATAAAAAAAATTGTTCTTACAAGGAAAATAATGAAAATTTCCATTTGAATGATTTTAAAAAAGCTTTATCCTCTTCTCATTGAACATCAACGTTTGAACATTTTTGCTATATAATAAATAATACAAATATTGAAATGACCAATGCATTCAATGGTCAGAACATTAATTTTATTGATTTTCACTATTTTACATTTATTTTTTTTTTTTTGTATGATTTCGCAAAAACTGAATAAGTGAATAGATGGTTTGATTTAAAATTTGGTAAATGTGTACAATAAAAGTTTTTATCTTGAACCAGAATAATAGAAAAATATCTTATTATTAAGACATTAAGTGCCAAATCTTTAAAATATCGCAGTAGTAAAACACAAAGCATCAAAGCCGAAATTTTTTACAAAAAATTAACATTTTTAGATCGATAAGTCGAATAGTTTGTATTCCATGAAATTTCGAAGATTTCCTTCGTGTGTACAAAAAGTCCTCTTCTTCCCTTTTTAAAATCATTGTTTCTAGTCTATAGCAGGTTTTGTCTAACGTAATATAAATCATATGACATAACTCGTAATAAAAATGATTATATTACATATCATTATTCTAAAACGTATTTTTATCATAAAAAAAGCTACAAAAAATAATATGAATTAGTAGAATTCCACTAAATTTTATATTTAAATTGTTTTATTTATATTTGTTTAAGGTAACCTTCCAAATATTAATATTTTCTTGCATAAAAATTTGGTATTTTATTATTTTTATTTTGATACTATGCATGCATTGAGTAATATAATGATAACCAAAATAAATATTGCTAAATAATATTGAGTTTATTCTTTTTATTTTGATAAAAGTGATAGCGTAATTTAATTGTTTATAACTTATAAAAAGAGTTGCTTTACCTTAAAGGGTATGATGCTATGGAAATGCTGTTGTCCATAAGTAGTTATTGAAATGTATGTATATATTTCTAAATTGTAATAAATATCAATCATGGTCAATTATGTTAATGATTTTATGTAATGATATTGATTGTGATACACATGATGTCTTAAATGGTATTCATGATAAGTTCCTACATTGCGGAAGTATGCTTGTATGTTCGTTATTTTTTTAGATTTCCGTCTTATAGATTTATAACATTTGTTTATTTTATTTCAATAAGATACTATACCATAAGAATAATGAAAACATCAATGGATATTATTTATTCGTAGGCACTGGTTCATATAAGGTAATTTTTCTTAATTATGTTTTGTTTAAATGTTAAACAGTTTAGCGTCAGTGATAGATGACATTTTTAACAACATTTTGTATTATGTTATAGTTTTATTTTTACATATGTAAAGGATATGTTAGATTCTAGCATTATTATATGATTTATTTTTAATTTAGAATACAATTTGGAATGTCTGTTACACAAAGTAAATGTTATATTTTGTGATGTATTAACAGAAACTTTTGTGATAATGTTACCAAATTTTTTACGTAGTAGCTTAATTGTATTATGGAATTTTTAGAATTGGGATATCATATTTAAATCTTCAGTTCAAATTTCTATATTAATAATATCATAAAATATAATAGTGAGTTTATAATTTTAAGAAATTAGTGTTTAATTGAGAAGGTTTCGTATTTTAATTATACTAGAAGAGAACAATCCTAACACCATATTGAATCAAAAACAAAAAATAATAAGTACGAAAGTTGCAGTAAATACATAGTATCAAAATGCATGTTTAGTTTATCAACATGCCATTTATTGTTAGTTTTGCCGATTTTATTTCATTTAGGTACTAATTAAAGTGAGATAATAAAGTGTTCTGATTAAGAAATTTCAATTTGTTCTTTGGTTTTCAGAATATTTTATAACATATTTTATTCTTTGTAAAATATCATGTAAGATAAAATTTATTTTTATTTTGATACTATATTACTCTTACTATATATATTTTGTAAGATAAAATTTATTACTAAGATTTAGCTCAAGATTATTGTTCCATTACTAAGGACATATCTAGAAATACACTAAAGATTAGTTAGAATATTTGTTTGTTTGTGGAAGGATGAAGCTGTGGAAGGTGCCCTGCGGGAGATAGGGCTTTTGTAGGTGCTGCGTTCTTGCATGCCCTCCATGGCCAATCTGTCAGCCCACATGAATCAAGATCCGGAGCAGACTCATCCGCTGCATGATGCCATCATACATCTCTACTTTTTCTATAGTTATTGAGCATCAATTTTTTATCATTGACAACCCTTACAAATTTAGTATTTGAACATTAGTATATTTTTTATAGGCGACACAGATAGATTTAATAGTAATATTCATGTAGTTCATGTGTATAATATATATATATACATCATAGAAAACTATATATATACATTATAGAGATTCATCTTAATTACGAAATTGCTTTTCATTTTATTATTGAGCAGGTAATAAAATTAGCTTCATACTATGGCAATAAAGTAATGCACATTTGAGAAATTATTATTTCTTTATGTGTAAATAGAAAAAAAGTGTTTAGATAATGTATACATCATTTTTTAATGCATAAGGATTTTTTCTGTGACATGTTATATAGTATTATATTTGTCTTCATAAAAGTATTTATTTCAGTATCTAATTAGAGGTGAATGTTTGAAGGTATCACTTTTATATGTGTACATGTGTATATACATAAACAGTGTCAATTTTTAATATTATAACTTTAACACAGTATATAATAATACCCATAATAAATGTATACAAAGAAATTTTTACACAATTGTATACAAAATTATATACTACCTTTTCCATGTAATTAACCCATTTATGTATTTATTGCTACTGTATTTACCCTTTCAGATTTTAATAAGATATATCTTGATTTATTTATACATAAAATAAAGATATTAGAATTTTTATTTACTCACTCTTTGGTAGAAAGAATTTTCGTTAAACTTCGTCAAGTTTACAATATCTACACTTAATTATAAATACAGAGACATTCTGTATACAGCATGCAATACAGATATTTCTTTGATTGATGCTTAAGCATTTTAAACGAAGCAATAAATGAACATGTGCTTTGTGCAGCTTTGTGTATCCATACAAGTATATACTCAGTTATATGAAAAGGGTTCAGTTCACCATTTGAAGCTGCATCAAGGAGATTACTTAATTACAAACTAGGTACGTGTTTGTTTATATATTTTCATTATGTATATTTGCATTATATGATAATATGCAGCATCAAAGAAATTGATCCCTCTTCATATCCGTAGATGTACTTTTTGTATGGATCTTTAATGTAATAATACTATTCATATGTTTCAGGAGGAAACTCCACAAGGTTTCTTCGAGGACCATGGTCTGGGATAATACTTCCTAAACAATATATCCAGCATAACGTAAGTGGTATGTTACAATGCTGCTTCAACATTCCAGAATTCTATTTACGACAAGCTTTCTCAATTAGATTTAAGAGTATGGTACTGCAGAGACATTAACGAATTGAAATTAAGCTTTTCAATTAAAGTCATGTTTCTGTTATAAGTTAAAATGTAATTATATTGAAAAAATTATAATCGCTGTTTGAATAGTCAATGAAATGTAGTTACTCTATAAAACGTTAAAAACCAGACATATTGTTTCTCTTTGTTAAAATACTAGCAGTACTATACTACTTATATACATATATATCATATACATATATGTATGTATGTCTTTCCAGATTGACATATTATTTAATCCTTTATGTTTCATTTGCTTTCTGAAGTGATACAATGTTTATTCTTATCATAATTTCTTCTTTTATCTTTGATATGTATGCAAAGAAGTTGGTATAATTAAAGCTTTGGAACTAAAATTTATAATTTTGTTGATAGAATTATTATATTGTTGTATAATACTTAAGAAATTAAAATTTTATATGCTTGAAAGAAATATGTAAAACAGTTTGCTCTTCATATTTTATTTTGCATTTATTACATTGTATTCCTATAAATTGCATTTAGTATATTTGTTTGTATGATTAACATTTTATGATATTTTAGTAAAAATATACTATTTTTTTCATCCAAGATGACTTCATCTATAAGTAACGAAAATAATACAATTTAATTCTCAAACCATATTTGGTATACAAGCAAATCTCATTACATAAACTGCTATATTTCCTTCTTATTAAATCATTTTTATTACATTGTTTATACATAAAGGGTCAAATAATTAAAGAATATTCGATAATATTGTCGCTATACGTGTATTAATGTATCGTTCGTGAGGTGCTTATCGAAATTCTATTTACATTTATTCTTTTTTGGGGGGGATTGAAGTATGTATAAGTATTACGAAAGGTCGTCGTGTTTTATCAATAATTAATCGATGATCATATTGTTATGTTTTACGTATAAATAATAGTCAATAAGTTTGACGACGTTTTCAAGCATACGCTCAAAAGTAGTCCAATCGTTCGAATAAAATCAAACTGAAATTGAAAGAAAAGTAAATGTGACGTTTTGTTAGAAACAAGGTATATAACTGAAATATGAACAGAACAATTAGAATTTGAAGGACTCATTTTATACGAATATTTCAAATTTATGTTTAGTCAAATACTGAATTACAACAAATATATTGCTCTTGAAGGAGAAAATTTCTTCTTGAAGATTTGCGATTTTGCGATTATATATTCGAAATAATTATTTTTCTCTTAAATAAAATATAATATCCTCACGTGAAATTTATAATCCTTCGAAAATATTATTTAAGACATAGCACAATTAAAAGAAAATCAATAGAAATGTTTTGTTATCGTTGAAATCTGATGAGATAACTACATACGTACGTTGTAAATTTTTCAGTAATCGTTATCGCTAAATGAAGAAATTTTCCTTGTTATAATTAATAGTTGAATGTTCAATTGTACTATTTGTATAAGAGTTCTGCAGCATATCCAGCTTAATCGTGTGTCACATAATGCTTTTTACATTCTTACGTGTAAAAATTAGTTATTTTTGTTTTCCTTTCCTATATATATTTTTTATCAAAATTCGATATGCAAAACGTGATTTATATCTAAAATTTTGGTTGTAGAATGAATTTAAAGAAGACTGTTTCTTTATACATTTATTCCTATTACATGGGTAAAAGTTTTGGTAAATTCAAAAGAATACTTATAATAGCTTAGAAATGAAGCTAAAAGAAAAATTAATGAATAATTAATAAATTACAGAAAATATTATATAACGACATTTCGAAATTACTGCGGCTAATTGCAAAGCTTGCAAAAAAATTGCATTATTATAAAATCGTTTATATAAGATTATTTTTTTTTTTTTAAGAATTAGAAAAATACCTCGTTTCGCGAATTTAAACCGGATATGCTGCAAAATTTCTTAAAATTTTGTTGAATTGATTAATTATAAGCGAAAGGATAGAAGAGCACTTAATAATCGTAGCTTTCGCCAAACGATTGCGCAATCTATCATTCGTCTCATACAGGATGATTTATCTTACCATATAAATGAAGTTATTGCGGAAAGTAAGCTGCGTTGAAAAGGATAAAATGGATTTTCAAGGATTTGCAGATTTGTAAAATAGAATTCAACACATCGAGAATACCTGTATTTCACGAAATCAGTCATATATACATACATTACGTATGCGTTATATGAATCTGTTATTTCAGTGAAAAAGATTCTACCTTCGTTCTTTCGAGTAAGGGAAAAACAAAGATAAAGAGTCGTATTCGTCGTCTTAAATATAATATTATTTCAAAATTTACAATTGCTTGTTTACAAATGTTTAAACAAAATTGCATATCTTACCTTCCATAAAATTTATTTATCTATCGACAAGTTAAAAATTCATTTTATTTACAACCTGTCCATTAAGATTGCGCCATGTACTATATGATAAAGTTGCTGAAATTTTCCATTCAACCCAGCGTACTTTCCCAAATAAACTTGTAAATTAAAATCGACCACCCTGTAGACTAACTGAAAATCACTGACGAGGATATCGATTTCGATATAAACATCATCTTGTAGTATTTTTCGGCGTTGGCGATGATAAAAGATATTCATGTTCCTGTCGATTATCATTCTCGTCTTACCGAAATAGTTTTGCGCGCGGTTCTATCGCCAATTCTTGTTTTTACGCGTATATGTACGTCCCGAACAAAGGAACGGAAGAAATCGATGTTTAAACGGAAGCATGTAAAAAATTTCCCAGGCATGCAAGTTTGTATCGTTACTAGAACCATAGTTTATCGATTATGGAAACGTTCGCCGATCGACAAATTTTTCGTATTAATCTCGGTGAATATTGCGCTCTTAAAGGCTGTCATGGATGAAGGTTTGTCTCTATACGTTTTTCAACATTAAAGATTAATGAAATCGAACAAACGAAATCAAATGTTTTACAGTAATCATTGGGTCGCGGGTTTTTATGCGTTTATGGGACATCTAAAAATGCGAAAATCCATATAATGTACCAAAGTATATACGGTGTTTTAGAAACTATGACGCAGTCTGCTATTGGTCGATTCTACGTGAAACAGCAAGTCGAAAATGCAGAATAAAGATCGTTGACGCGTGTTCAAGAAAATCGAGAAAGAAACTAATTGGTTTGAAAATTTGTCGAGTTAAACTTGGTTAATTACCGACTAAGTATGAGTGGACAATTAGCAGCAGGTTGTTGCACACGCGAAATAAAATTTTCCCTTTCAAGAAGATAAAGTTTGAACATACTTAGCGAAGAATTAGCCTGGTACAGGCGCGCGATAAATTTACTAATTTATCGTTCTTGAAAACAAAGCGAAAAAACTTTTATTACGTACCTTCGACCTATTTTATTTAAGTATGTCCGACGAATGTACAAGCTTAATTTTCTCAACAAACGAAGCGACGTATGAAAGCATCTTATTCTGTATTTTCGCTAGGTTTCTTCACGTAGTGTCACCTTATCGCCGATTGTACCGTCATTGTTGGTGGTTGATACCACCGTACAATATGTCTAAGATATCCAAGATAATGATCGTAATGATGGTAGGCGAAACAAATTTCCGTTTCGGTTCTATGTTTTTAGCGATACTTGCAGAAATAAACATTTCCATAAATATACGCAGCCTAGTGATTACAAATAGTATTACAATGGCATTATTGCACGATAAAAGTAAAATAAAGCCTGACAATATAAGAATAAAAATTCACGCACGGTGAAATTTCTCTTCATAATAGCTTTTAAGAGTTACAACGTCGCGAACACAATTTACAAAGGGACAATAAGTTTAAACACTGTTCGTTGAATCGTTTGTTCATGGTATTGATACAAACTGTTGATACAAGAGAAAGAGAGAGAGAGAAAGAGAAAAGAGAGTGAGAGAGAGAGAGTATGCGTTATACATATCTGAAAACTATATACTCGCAAACAACATGTTTTTTATAGTTTATCTTAGACGTAGGTAGCTCGAAACACATTGCGGCGTACGTATTCATGTGTCACATTTAAACCAGCTTGTTGAGATTTTTTCTTTCTATACGTCACAAGATATTGTTTTTTGAGTTTCTAGCATTTTTAACGAAAGACCGATATTTTTTTCTTTTCTACATATACGAAGGTTATTTGCCTGGATATTAAATATCAGACTTGAAAAGTGACGATCGAAAGATTCATGAAAACGTTCGGTTTCGTTTAATCGTACTGGGCAATATGGATATTTTTATTCTTATTTTTATTTGTTAATATTAATTTTTAATGACATCGGCTTAGAAATTATAAGGTTAACCTTCTAGATAAGAATTTTTTTCTAGACATCCTCTTTTTATATTTTTTTTTTTTAAATTCATAACGATAAACGATTTCATCGAGTAGAATAATAGAATAATTTTTAATAATACGACGGAAATGACAGAATTATAAAATAAATTAAATATCGATTCTTTCAACTTGAAAAAACGATAATATTAATTTTATTGGAAAATGCATATTGCCTAGAAATTCTATTTCTATGTTTGCTATATTTTATATTACGTATATAATTTCACCAAACAGAATGTAGAATAGTTTTAAGCAATACGAAGAAAATGGCTATGTTTAGTTAAAGTACTTCGACTATTTTGCGTTTAAGTATTTAATAAACGATGGTGCACGTAAATCGATATGATTTGCATTATCTTCTGTCTCGTTAGGTACTTTTTATTATATACGTATATTTCAAATACTTATGATTTTTGCAGATTCTTTGTTAGTTTAATATGGCTACACGTACGCAACGCAATAGTAAAGAAACTTTCCTTCGGTAGTATACAGGTGTTTTATGTTAACGAGAAATCAAAATTAGGGATTAAGCGCTGAGAATTATTAGAATTCGTGGTACACAGAATTAAGGTATTAAAGAAAATTCTCAGAACAATACTACGAACCAATGTTAAACATATGAACGTGTATTTACGATAAGTCTATGAATATTGTATTTGAAAAGACGATGCTTTATGCTCCGTCCATAATAAAATATGTGATGTAAAAATATCCATTTTTCTCCAGTATGTTTTGCGCTCCTAGCCAATGGCCCAAGCCAATTGTAAGTACAAGTCCTCGGGATGTTCGTAAGTATAACTTGAAATTGTTAATATCATTCTTAATATAGAAAATTGAAATTGTTGATGCTGCTTTGTGTAAAATTGTTTTAATAATTCTTCGATTAATTGTTTAAATTGCAGTAATATATCAAGACATTTTGAATAATCCGAAAGAATACCTCTTCCGTATTCAAGTGTAAGAAATATGAAATGTTGAGTAAACTTCACGCAAGAAAATAATTGGCCATCTACGTGGCATGAATGGTCATTCAAGATAATCTAATTCTTCGTATCTTCAAAATATCGTATTAGAGAAAAATCAAGAAATTTAGACGGTACTTTTACATTTTACTACCATTATAAACTCAAAAATCGTTCCTTTTACCGTTTTACTTTCCTTGTACTCGACTGCACATAAGAAAAAATATTGCATTTTGCTTTACAGTTTCTTACCTAATTAATTTATGATAACTTTTGAAAATAATGTATCGAGTTGTAATGGTATATCATACGATTGAAAATCATTTTTTTCTTACATTTTCTTCCCTATTTTGTATAAAAAACGAATTAAAAAATACATCTTTTCAGTTTTAGGGAGAATAAATTGAACGAGCTCGAGTCTTTATCATTTGAAAGAAAATCGTATTCCTACGAAACAGAGAGCAAGAGTATCTTCTTTATTAAGAAAATGTCTTTCATCTCGTAACAGAATTTTTCGAACTTTCTACTTGATGACATAATGTGTGTATGGATGATTAATCTCTGGATGCGACTGTCCCGTGTATCTAATTTTCTAAACTAAGTTGACGTATATGAACGCGTGTAAACTATTGTATGAAGGGAACGAACACGCGAATGCGTTTCCTCGTTCAGTTCCGGCATTGAAAAATCCTATACACGCCGCTGCTGTCGAGATTTTCCATCATCGACGTTTGCAGCGTGCATTGTCAACCACGTATTTCAAGGATTCACGCAACAGCGAGTCGATGATGGGTGACAATAATGTCGCAAATAACAATGTTGCATTATTCAGAGGACGCAGGATAGAAAACGTTAATTTTAATCGTAACGAGTTGACAAGACCGAAGAATACGTCGCGTGTATGTTCTTTCCTTATTTAGGAATTATTTCTAGTAAGTAATAAATATAAAAACTTGGTATTCGCTATCAAATATCGCAAGTACAATAATCGATAATTTGCTATTTAAAGGACAAAGTTTAAGATATACTATTAAAATATCTACTCGTTATATTTATTATTATTTGGAAATAATTTGAAATATTTATAAGTGAAGAGATATCAATGAAAGATTTATAACAAATAGATTGAATGAATTTTTATGCATTTATGATTGTGACTGAACATAGGTATCTTTCTTATATTACGTTTAAAATGATTTCTGGATCTTTAACGTTACTGGTTTAAATTGTCTACTATATTGTAAAAATATTCATTTACTCAACGTAGACTAAAATTCTGAGTCCAAGAACGAAAAATATTCTACGTCTTGAAATGAATGGAAATGATAGGATAAAATTCAGTTGAATGAAGCTCCGTTTCTGAGAAGAGGGATTTTGAAGGTTACTTGAGAACACGTGTTTCCTTCATACTTATCGCAGCAGATTTCACTACAGATGTTCTGTGTGAGTAAGGCTTTCATACCGTGTATCAGAATTTATCAATTTTTTTTTTTATCAACTATATACAAGTTTCTATTGAATAAACGATACGATAGTACTGAATGTTGTTTGAATAACGAATAAAATATTATTCATTATTCCAATAGTGATATCAATTTTTATTTGTTCGTTATTTGCTTATTCGTTTGTTATCGTTTATTAAAATTCAAACCCTTTATTCGTTGGTAGAAGAAAAAGTAATTTTTTTCTTTTATATTATCGTTCGATTATTTATATTTTATATCAATATTTAAAATATTTATTATTTTCATTTTGAAACTTCATATTCGTTCTTTCGCCTTCGCGATTTCTCACGAACCAATTTTGTACTTTCACTTTATTGGTAAAAGAACCATTTTTATTTTTTCTTTCCTTTCCTGAAAAATTTCAGATAACGAATATACATGATTCGCGATCTCAAAAACAAGTTATTCTACCATTTCAACTTATTTTGCCTTTTCGGACTGTACGAATTTCAACTATACATATGCGTATCTACGTCCTATTAAATCAATATGGGGACAAAATCAGTGAAACATGGAAGGAGGTATATACATTTACTTTTACCAATCATATTGATTTCTTGTATTTTACTAATTTTCCCGACAGACTTTTACACGAATCGATAATACTTAATCATAAAATCTCTGTTACTAGCAAACACAAGGTTAAAAAACAAATGATTATTTTGTAAAAACAAGTTATAATTTCCCAGCCAGAGTAATTTTAGTAGCATTATTCTTCTTTTCAACCAAAATCATATTATCATTCTCCATGTTGGAGAATTAAATACTATAACAAAATGAATTCAACATCTTGTTCATGATCGAGAACGAACGTGTAACTTGAAAGTTACACATCCTCTATTTATACTTCAAAAATTATCTTATACCCTAGTTATTTGTCCTTTCATCGTAATTCTGTTATCTACCTTGTCACCAAATAATTTACTTACGACTCGCATCGATCATTAATTCGTATTTCTTCCATCAGGATGGAAAAATCTAATTCGATACCGATTGCTCCGTTCACGTGCAAAGAAAATTCCTGTTAGCGTTGAAAAATAGCCAAACACTCTAATTAAAAGGCAATATCAATGGAAAGAGTAAACGAACGAAATCCCTAAAAGAATTATCATCCATCACTGCAGAGTCTCAGTCCTCCCAGCCATCCCCCTAAGGTTTCTTGCAAACATTTCCAGAAACGCCGAGGGACGCGTTCGACGAAGCAGCAACGAAAACGGAGCAACAAAACGGAAGAAGAGGAGTTTCGTCCCTCGAGCGATTCGTATGATGGAATGGCCGGTGTACGCATGAAACGTAAACGCGTTGCGCGAAAGGAACGCTGCGGAGCCGCGTCGGCGCGCGAGCAGAGCAGC